TAAAGGGGTACCCAATGCAAAAAGGTTAAGGATGAGAACATCTTCAAGTTTATTAACAGTATTCACCACTACATACAATTTCTTATGCTGAACACATCAGTGAAAACCTAACTGGATGGTGGAAATGGCTCATGAAGAAACACAACATTGACACAAATACCATAATCATACAAAAGCCAATATCAAAGTCAAGAACCTTATTACTAAGTAGTTACCCCAGTGAAAGTAAAAATGATGAAGTCATCTACAAATCAAATGCAATTCATGTAAGCACTTTTATATCAGAGAAAATGGAAGTGAAATGAACCGCAGACTTAAGGAACATCTTAAAGGCCCTTCATATGTTTTGGAAAATCCCAGAAAAACAAAACATATTATCATTGACAACAATGTTGAAATAAGAAAAAAAAGAACCAAACATCAACATAAGAAAAATAGCTGGACACCAACTGATATTCATCAAAGCCAATCCTAAATAAATATCCAAAACTCCAACCCCTGATATATATATTAATATTTTATCTATTCATTTTACTAAAAAAAAGCTAATTTAACATCACCTACAAACTTGTCCTCATTTATCACCAACCTGTAATATTCTCTGGAATTCAACTGCATTATTAAAAGTAGCCTTTACTTGATAACAACTCCCAGCTGTACCGTAAGGTAAACTAGGAGACCACCTAGGGCCTCACACAAGACCATTATAAAGGTGGAATTTTTCTAGCCTAGCAAAATCACTGCTCCCAGCCTCACTCAAGGCATGGACTCAATTTTTCCATTCATTTGCATGCTGGACACTGAGCATTTCTACACCATTATGAAGTGAAAGGGTTAAGATAAATATAGCATTGGTGAACAATAGTATCAAATAGACATCTTTTCCTGATAAGACTGATGTACATTTGTTTCACTAGGCTACTATCCATTAGGGTACTGGTACAGTAATGGGTATGCTAACTAGGCTTGAGCAATCAAATATTAGCTATCTTAGAAATTAGTTTTAAAAACTCATGTATAATTAGTGGACTATTGCTTAACAGACTGTAATTATACTTGATCAAAAATCCTGATTTCTATTGGCTAACAATCTAATTTAAGTGCACTAAGTCTTGTAATATATTTTTCAAAATATGCACACTTTTAAAAACATTGTTTTAGCTCTATCCACCCAGGTATCCTTTTCTGCACATGACACAAGGATTTATGTCTTATATTCAAAATTTTATTAAACTACTTTTTGTTTATGGAAAGCAGTTAATATAGCATAAAATAATCCATATTTTAGTGTTAGTTAAGTTTTAAGTTCTTAACTCTGTAAGGAAATATTTTTTAAAATCCTGAATTTCCCCTAGTGTGATGGACATGACACATTTTCTCAAGGTTTGTTCTCTTCTCTATTTTATTATCAGCCCTTGTATATGTGCAAAATTTAATGTAAACTACTCCCTATCAAATCCAATTTGCTCAGACAAACCATAATTTTTATAGTTGTCAGTTTTGTTTGGTCACAGGACTAACAAATAGAAAATCAGACCCCTCCTACCACACCCACCTGTTACCTCCTCTCTTTCCGGATTTGTTAATAGTTTTTTTCTTACATTTAGTTATATATTACCTATAATTAATAGGAAGCAGAGGTTTTCATCTATCAAATGACGTTTTCTATTTCTTTGTCCATTGATTACATAATCATCAATTTCAATCAGAGTGCAAATTTGTTTCACATGGGAAAAGTAACCAGAAGCTTGGATGAATTTGTAACGGTTCTTGTCGTATAGTGGATGACCTGTGGTAAGTAACAAATAATAAAATAAAATATTATACTAATTGCAAAAATGTCTAAGAGTGGAAGAGAACATGACATGGACAGAAAATTTCAATCAATTCCAAAAAAACGAAAGCGGGCGACTTTGGAAGAATGCAAAAAACAGTTACATGGTTCAATGATGAAATACTTAAAGGCAGAAAAAATAAATCAGTCTGAAGGTGCAATTGACAATGAAAATGAAGATGCAGGAAATGGTTTGGCCCAGGGAGAAGATTCTCAAAGTACATCCATTCACTGTAAGTATAACAATGCTCTGTTAGATACATCTGGTGAAGTGTCTACAAAATATCAGCAAGATTCCGTTAACGTTAATATATTAAAATCTGATGATCTTAATGAAACATATAAATCTATTAGTTACGATCCAGGTGAATGGAATTTCCCAATACAGGATATAGATAGAGTAAATTACATTCTCAAAGAACTGATTCGAGAAGAAAATGCAACTTTGCATTTAGAGGACATAGGGAAAGTTTAGAACAGGAAAAAAGTGGAAATTTCTTAGACCTGGTTAAGCTTACTTTGAAGTTTGATCCTGTTCTTTGAGAACACTTACAACACATAGAAGATAATAGTCTTCATAATCATTATTTGGGAAAAAACATTCAAAATGAGTTAATAGCATTGATGACCAAACATGTTAAACTTGCAATTACTCAAAATATACAGCAAGCAAAATATTATTCAATAATTCTGGACCATACTACAGATGTAAGTCACCCCGAACAAATGACAATGATATTGCGTCACATTGCGGAAAAGTTGGAAGACACTGAGGAACATTTTGTTGGATTTGTACTGGTAGAAAAAGTATGGCTGAAGAATCAACAAATTGCATATTTTCACAAATCAACAACCTAGGACTGGACGTCAAAAACAGCTGCGGACAAAGATATGATAAGGGAGTTAACATGCGGGGAGAAAAAAGTGGTGTAAAAACAAGAATACTAAATATTAATCCTTTAGCCTTCTTTACACCTTTCAGATGTCACAGTTAGAATTTAGTGCTTGGTGATGCAGCAGCGTTTTGTACAAAGGCTAGATTATTTTTTGGTGTTTTGCAAAGGCTGTATACATTATTTTATGGTTCATCCAAAAGGTGGATTGTGTTAAAAGAAAGAGTAAATATTATTGTGAAGCCTTTGGTCGAAACCAGATGGGAATGCAGAGTGGAGATTGTGAAGGCCACCCGATACCACTTTAAAGATATAGCCGATTGCCTAGAAAAACTGTCAGAAATAAGCAGAGATCCATCATTTTCTAGTGAATGTAGTTTTAATACAAGAAGAAATTTTGTTGTATGTGTTTGTACTTTCTTTGGTAGTATGATAAGATAATTTAGTGAAAAGAAACCTAATTAGTAAAGCATGGCGGAGGTGTAATATGCAGTTGGACATGGCATTGAAACATTTTAGGAATTCCTATGTTGCCTAGATGATTGTAGAAAAAATGGGTTTGACTCTGCTATAGTGTCTGCCAATAAAATAACTGATGAAATGGGCATTCCGAGGTATTTTAAAGAAATTAAACTATGTAAGATTACGAGTGTCCAGACAAAACTAGTGCTAACCCTGCAGACATTTTCAGAACTGAATATTTTAATGTCATCATCGAAATGATTTGTGCAAGTGCTGAACCTCAATTTGAGGGGGTTAAAACCTACTACACCAACTTTGGTTTTCTCTACAATATTTCATCTTTAAAGAACAAGTCTGATGATGAACTTTTATAGTGATGTAAAGAACTACAATATAAATGGCGAAGAATTATTTGAGGAACTAAGAATGTGTACCAGGACTGTACCTCCAAATATAGACATTCATGATTAACTAAAACATATTATAGATAATAATTTAATTGAAGTTTATCCTAATGTTTATGTAGCATTAAGGATTATATTAACAATTCCAGTTACAGTTGCTTCAGCAGAAAGATCTTTTTCAAAATTGAAATGAATAAAAACTTACTTAAGATCTACTATTTGTCAATTTAGGTTATCAGCATTGGCTATTCTGTCTACTGAACATAATTTGGCTTCAAAATTAGATTATTACTCTGTTATAGATGAATTTAGCACTATTAAATGTAGAAACATTAAATAAAATTGTAATTGTACATATCCAATAAACTGTTGTGATCTTATATTGGTGTTTTATTTCACTTAATATCTCACATTTTTTTCTCACATCAAGGGGCCTCATGTATGACTTTTGCCTAGAGCCTCACTATCTCTAAAGCTGCCTCTGATGACTCCATATTGAGTCGAAACACTGTAATTATCAATTTTTCCAAGTTACAGAGAGATAAACACACCTGTTGACATTCAGATAAAACATTCAGATGTTCACAACTATGCCATTTGCATATTATACTAATAAATATGTGTTTTTCCTTGAATTCTCTGTCTAATTTTGCATTTTTAGAAACATTTTCACAAAGAACTAAGGACACTGTTACTCCACTGTAATTAATACATCTTCAGTGGTCACAGTATATACCTAAATTCTTCAAATAAAAAATCTATAATTAACTGTAAAAATATGTAAACTCTAGCAAAAACTTGAACATTTAAACTGCTTGCAATAGTAAATCAAGTTCTGAACCAGTTTTGATGAGTTGAGGCCTTGGTTTATGAATTAACAATGAATAGTTATAAAAAAAGAAGACTGGCTTATTACTAGCTGTTTAAAAAATTGATATATCTTAGTTCTGAGTAGCATAAAACACTTCCAGAATTGAACCTTAAAACCTTATCTGGTGCTTTGTGCCTTTAATAACCAGTGACCTAAAGTAGTTGTATAGCTATAATTTTTGAGCATCATTAATTTGACTGTCAGTTTGAGAATCTTAAAAGTCCTACAAAAATTTCCCTAATGAATTTAGTTAAGATATAAAACTCAGATTTACAAATAGGTGTAAAAACCTTTGTATTTCAAAAATAACTTCATAGTAATAGATACACTCAGCTTTCATTGAGAAATGAAAGTTGTTAGTAAATATAATGTTTCAAATTATCACTGGATATAATTTCACCACCAAACATAATTTTGTTGTTCATATATTTAATTGTACAAAAACAAAGAGTAACAATAAAAATGTTATCACATTTTTTAAATTACTCAGTTCACTCAAATTGTACTTTTAACAGAAAGTCTTAAGACATGCTTACTTGCACTTCAAAACATTGTTCTTCAACCTCTGATTTTTCATTATCATCCTGTTTCATATGCTTTTCATCACAACCCTTTTTTCTTCTGTAGGGTGAACAAGTGGTCTCTCTTTGCATTTTGCTTGGTGTATTACGGAGTCTTGGGATTGGATCACGTGCCAAACCTCGATTTTCTTCCATTCCGTTGTTAGAAAATCTTTTAAAATGATTAAGAAATTAGCAATGAAATCAACTTGTATTACAGCAGTACATGATTACATATAGAATCTTCAAATTTTTTATGTAATTCAGAATTGTAATAGATAAGATGAACAGAAAATAAAAAATAAGTACTCAGCTATAAGCTTGTGACAGTAACAGGAACTCTACAGCAGTTTTGCTGACCCAAGGACATAAGAAAAATCATGATAAAAGAAGATGACTCACACATTCAAGGTTGTTTTAAGCCAAAAAATATTTATATTTGTTAATAAATGTTAAACAATGTGGTTATGTTGCCTATATGAATATATTTTCATATACAAAGTTTTGGATTGAAAAGTAACAATTCTAGTTTACTGTGCCTGAAGTCTGAAAACAGGGTTTCTTCTGGATCTTTACATGTTTTCACCAGTTGATAAAATTTTTTCAGGAGCAGATTTTGAATCTACATACTAAAGACAAGGGTAGAAAAAAAAAAAGGACAGACAATTACACAAACAGTAAAAAAAATAAAAAAAGTATTTTGGTATCAATAACAGCTAAGCCAAGCCAAAGTCACTTATTGAAACCATGTATACTGAGTTAATAATTAACCATTCCTAAAATAAACTTTTTTTTTACTTTTTTAGCTGTTTGTGTAATTTTCTTTGTCTTATAGGGTTTAATGTGATAATAAAAAGAAAATGCTTATTTCGGAATTTGCATTTTATACCATTCCTAAAATATTGGACTTAATTCTTTTTTACCCATTTGTGTAATTTTCTGTCTTTTATTCTGATGGACTTTTATTCCACTTTCTTTTTTTCCATTGTATTTTTTACCTTTGTCACTGGCAAATATTAAAGTAAATTTTATATGTTAATTCTAACCATAATTCAACAATTCTAAGTCAAAAATATTTTAGAATCAATATTTTATTATCTTGTCATTTATTCAGTATCATTCATAAAGCAAAGAAAGTTCATATTTTTATTTCAGCCAGCTGCAAAGAATATTGCCTGTGAACAGAATAACCTACTCATCAATATTTTTTTAGAACTTATCTGCCCATCTTAAATAATTATTTTTAGTAATAACCTATCAACCCTTGAGCAGTATTATCCATTTCTTGCTTTTCAAACAATCCCCTTAGTTTTTATACAGGCCTTATATGAAACCTTGTTACGGTGCCACATCAAGTGGTATGATCACTTACTAATGAAACAGCTGTTAAAGTTTATGTTTGAATAGAGCAAGAATTGGACTATCACATAACAGTATACTACATATATAAGGGTAAGTTTTTTTTTAATAATTTATGTAAACATTCCTTTCAGTTTCATTCATTTGTTAATCTTATTTGTGTGTTAAGTTATATTTGTTTGAAATATACAGATTTTCTTCAATGAGAAGATATCAGATAACATGAGATAAGGTACACTTATACAGTAAAACTCATCATTTCAAGACTGACCCTTTTTACTGGGTTTTAAACACAAGGTGTCACTGATCCATATATGTCTAGACTGTTTATACAATTATCTGTCTCTACAGAAAGAATTGTTAGCTGTAACCATTGATAGAGATAACTAGAATATAACTGTTCCCTAGATTTATTATGTTATCCTATTTTAAAATACTTTATTTCATCAAACTCAATCTGTAATTTATGTATCCTTTTTAAAAAGTCGTACTTATTCATATGCCCCTCAGGTTCTAGTTCTAGCATTTTATTTTGATTTACTTAAGTAATTAATTTACAAAAACAGACACAAAGCTTATTTTTGGACAGGTGTCCACAGGTCATTTCTTAAATAGCACATTAATGGTATTTAGCTAACTGAAAAAAAACTGACATTCTAACAATATGTTGGATTATGACAAAACTTTATAAAACCAACTTCTTAGCTTTTCCCAACAATTCATTTCTTCTAAAAATACCATTTACAAAGTCTTTCTCTGTCACTATACATTATGTATCACTAACTACAGCATTAATACAGACAGAAAAATAAACATACTGTTGCAAGTTGTAGTTTTAATATTTTAATTATATAATGATGATGTAACATCTAGAAGAACCACGTAGTACCTTAGTCAATGAATTTATCAATATCAGCACGTTTATTGTGTTTCTTATTGATCAAATATCTAGGAAATTCAACAAGTTAATAAGTACTTCTAAGAACGTACAAGTGAATATAAAATAAGAATATTTATGATATATAAACCACACCATATCTACCATATCAAGTGCTCACAAGGTCTTTTGTCCAGCATCAGGACTGATCAGGCTGGTTGGGATATAACAGATGTAGTGGTCTAAGCACTACATATATCATCAACTCTCATAAAAAAACAACTGTTATGGTGAAAACTAAACTATTTAACTGAACAGTAATTATTATGAATTTTATTTTAGTCATTTACAAATAGATTTTAAAGGTAATTAAGAGTACATTAATTTTAGAGTTTCTGTTAAACATTGTTTGTGAAGTTAAGCCTACCACAGTATCAGTGAATGTAGCCTGTAGCAAACATTACTGAATACTAAATTAACTCGTTATTGTCACACAGATTGGTTTTTATCAAATACTCCAAAAGAACTCACCCAACAACAACATGTTACAACAATATCCTACTATTTTTGGGACAATCTTTATAACAACTGTATGTACAAGATGCAATGCTATTTACAATTAATAAAATACTAAAAACATTTTGTTGTGTTATATTGGAGGGGGGAAGATAAATAACAGTTTTGAAAATTTCATCCCCCATAAACATAAATGTGAAATACTTGTTTATAGTTATAATCTCAACTTCAAGTTCAGTTTTCAAGATATTTATGTGTTATGTGGATCCTGTGGAAACACTTGATTATCACCTTAAAAGATTGTATTTACATTCATCATACACTGAATCGACTTGGGTCACTGTAAAAGTGTAAATAAAACGAAGTACTTTCACTGTTGTTAATGTTATTAATAATAACAGTAATACTAAGAGTAAGAGCATAGTCATTTTGGGTGCAGTAATGAGTAAATACATAATTAAAACTAAAAGGCATATTCACGATATAAACCTAAATTTTGGGCAAAAGCATTTTATATTGCAAGTGTGTGACTTATTTTTAAGTTGTAACTTGTTGTTTGAAAATTGAGGTTGTAATTTGTATTTATAACCGGCTAAAACAGTAAACGCCGCTAGTTGTAGCAACTTTTGTTATAGTCCATTACAAAATTGTATAAATTAAGTTATACAACAAATTTTTCTGACATCTTGCAACAAAAATTAATGGTAAATCATAAAAAAATAAACATTTACCACATATCTATAACAAATATTCTTTTATCAGTAGTTTAAGTATTAGTACTTGCTGACTCCTAATAGTAATAACTCGAGGCTAGACTGCACAACGTTCCGCCCATGTTATTAACACGGAAATGCTTTAAATAAAGATTTGTTAAAAATTATTACCAGTCTCAGGGATCTAACGTCACGTAAATAACCAGTCTATACAGATCACGCCCCGCCAATATAAGGAGTCATATACTATACATGTATAATAAAAATACAACTTTGTCTCTAAAAAAAATCGTATTTAATTGTTTCCAATCTAATTAACCTCCTTACCTAGACATGAAACAAAACCAAAACCATCGTTCAGGTATTGTGTTTGTTTGTAATTAAGCACAAAGCTACACAATGGGCTATCTATGCTCTGCCCACCAGGGCTATCAAAACCCGGATTCTAGCGTTGTAAATCCGCAGACATATCGCCGTGCTACTGGGGGGCCAGGTATTGTGTGATAATTGGTTAGACCCGGTAAAAATAAGTATCAAGCTTTTTATTTTTGGTACCACTGAAACTGGGATTTTGATTTCTGAAATATATTTAAAATCCGCTCCGAGAGTAAAATAATATATGAAAATTACCTAATTAATGCTGTTACGACAGCGGAAGTCACGTGACCCTAGTAAACGTCATGATATTTCCGAAAGTTCTTGAATGCTCTAGTGTTTACTTGATGTGTGGTATTCTTGTATATAAGACCGTTAAGAAGTGACGACAAGAATGGAATTGAATTG